ATCATATACATTACAAAGTGTTCCCTCGATATTTCCAGTACCCACCTGGCATCACTAGTAGTTATTACAATGTTATCGACCATGTTCACTGTGCTGTACTTTACATCTCCTTGACTGTTTTCTATCTATCAGTTTCTACTTCTTAATTCCTTAAACTTTTTCACCCTATCTCCCAAACCCCTTCTTCCTTGTAAAACATTAATCTTCTCTGTATCTATGAGTCTGTTCCAATTTTGTTTGTTCAATTTTTTGTTCCTTAGATTCTATACATAAGTGAATCATATGCTATTTATCTTTGTCTTCCTTAATTCACTAAGCATAAGGCATCTAGATCCATTCGTACTGTAGCAAATGGTAAGATTTTATTCTTTTTTAAGGCCAGAGTTTTTCTGTTCTTTTTTATTATTATTATTTTATATATACCAGAGCTTTTTTATCCACTTGTTTATTGATAGGCACTTGGGATGCTTCCATATCTTGGTTATTATAAATTCTTCTCAGTCAAAATAGGAGTGCATATATACTTTCAAATCAAGGTTTTGGGTTTCCTTGGATATATACCCAGAAGTGGAAATGCTGGGCATCAGGCAGTTCCATTTTAATTTTTTAAGGACACTCCATGCTGCCCCACAGTGGGGCACCAGTCTGCATTCACAGTGGGAGTGCAGAGGGCTCCCTTCTCTCCACTTGTCATTTGGAGTTATTGATGGCGGCCATTCTGACGGGTGTGAGGTGATATCCCATTGTGGTTTTAATGTGCATTTTTCTGACAATTACTGACATTGAGCATCTTTTCATATGTCTCTTAGCCATTTGTATGTCCTCTTCGGAGAAGTGTCTACTCAGGCGTTCAACCCCACCTCCTGCTTTTTGTTGTTGTTGTTGTTAATCTTCACTTAAGGATATTTTCTCATTTATTTTTAGATAGAGTGGGAGGGAGGGAGGGAGGAGAGAGAGAGATCAATGTGAGAGAGACACACCCATTGGTTGCCTCCCACATGACCCCAAGTAGAGCCAGGGATTGCACCTGCAACCCAGGTAAGTACCCTTGACCAGAAATCAAACCCTTGACCCTTTGGTCCATGGGCCAACACTCTAACTGCTGAGCCAAACCAGCCAGGCTTCAGCCCACTTTTTTCATTGAATAGTTTTATTTTTTGGTGTTGAGTTGTATTAAGTCCCTTATACATTTTGGAGATTAACCCCTTATCAGATGTATCATTGGCATATCTTATAATCTTAAAATAATAAAAAAAAAACTGTTAGATGTAACTAGAGATTAATAGTGGTGAGACCTAATAGCTAGCTGTGCAAGTTGAACTGGTGATGTATTCCCACACGAGTAAACTGTGACAAATGCTACTCACCTGGTATGCCTGCTCTGGGAGCTGGGGAGTAGTCTGGAATGCTGGGGGTATTCTGTAAACATCAGGCACCGTTGTATGGGAAAGAATGTCTCATGAGAAAGTAGAAGCATCTACTTTCAAGTCCAACAGGCACAGTGTGTATTTGTGTTAGTCCCTGATGTTTGAAATGGAAACCCCCTTTTGCACTGACCACAGTTCGCCTCAAGTACTTGCTGTAGGTAGGTGCCCTCCTAGGGTCTGGAGCTGCAGCAATGAACAAGGTGTTATCTTGCCCCCTTGCAACCTGCAATATGAACATTTTAATATGGGCCATTTAAAGCAAGTTTCCCTAAGTTAATGCCTCCAGGGATCTGCTGGCTCAAATTGAGATATAAAGAGTTAAAGTATGGCCATGACTCTCTAGAGAAGGAGCTATTCACAACTATCCTAAATGACTGCTTAAAACAGGTAAGTACAGGAAACACTCAACCACGGAAATAGATGGAAATGGGGGAAATCCATGATCAGATAAAAAAATAAAGGCATTCCCAAACGATGAAGAACCCAGAATCCATTCTCACTACTGAATCATTTAGGGAATGAGGTTGTGCTTTGTCACTACGATGGTTAGAAACATAGGGGAGACAGACCTGAAGGGAAAGGAGATGTCCTTTGTCTTCTATGTTTCACCACAGGGAGCAAGACTTATCAATCTTAATACCCCCATTTATTTTCAGGAAGACTGGCAAGCGCAGGGTGTGGGGCATGCAAATATTTGTTGAATAAATTAGTAATGGCCGCCATCCACAAATCATCAAACAACAAGTGTTGGCGAGGGTGTGGAGAAAACAGGACCCTAGTACACTGCTGGTGGGAATGCAGACTGGTGCAGCCACTATGGAAAACAATATGGTGTTACCTCAAAAAATTAAAAATTGAACTTCCATTTGACCCAGTGATCCCACTTCTAGGAATATACCCTAAGAAGCCTGAAACACCAATCAGAAAGAATGTCTGTACCCCCATGTTTGTAGTAGCACTATTTATAAAGCTAAGATCTGGAAACAGCCCAAGTGTCCATCAGTAGACGAATGGATAAAAAAGCTGTGGTACATATACACAATGGAGTACTACGCAGCTATAAGAAAGAAAGATCTCTTATCCTTTGAGACTAGATGGAGGGACCTGGAAAGTATCATCCTAAGTGAAACAAGCCAAACAGAGAAAGACAAGTTTCATATGATCTCACTTATTTGTGAAATATAATGAACGTAACAGTCTGAGGAATGGGGTTATCCCAGAGACGTGGAAGTGGGGTACATACTGACAATCTCCTAAAGGGGGTGGGGTGGGGGAGAGATAAACCACAGAACTTATATGCATGTATGCATGAACAGTGGACATGGACAACAAACTGGGGAAAGGGCAGGGAGGGAGGGAGAGGGGGGATCAGTGGGAGAAAAAGGAGAAACATCTGTAACAAAAATTAATTAATAAAAAAAAATCTATAAAACAAACAAACAAAAAGAGCTTCTGTCTTACTTCCCCACATTTATTTACAGACATAAATTATTCATTTAATATACATATTTATGTCCATGCTTTGCAAAATAGGTATTATTAGCCTGGATTAGAAACAAGTAAAAAAGACTTGTAAGTTATGCGACGTTCCCCAGTATATGTAGCCAACACAGGGCTGCAAGTACAATGCAATCCGCCCACACCTGCTCCTCTCTCCCACACCACACGGAGGCCACAGAGCTGCAGAGGAGGAACCGTGTAGAGGAATCGGGACTCTCCACAGCAGGGACTGGTGGGTTCAATACAACCGGCATAAGACACCTGCTACACTGGCAAGTAATTGTAACATCATCGTCATCCACAACACACAATGCTCTCGAAGACTCGTATAATTGGAGGGCGCTCACCTTTATTTACTCATACTTTTTTTCTGGGAAACAAGGCCAGTTGAGGAACCAGTGCTTTTCTGCTGAAAATGAGTATGTCCATCCTTCAGGTAGTTTATTGACAAATAAAATACCAGCAATTAGGTTACTAGCAAATCCTCTTACTATATTCTTCCGAGTAAGACTCTGCTTCTACAGGTGCCTTTGTTGTATATTTAATCTAACATATTATGAGATTATGAGTTAAATTTGGGATTCCAGAGGTTCTCCTTGCTACAATGTAGGCTAAAAAGATACTCAGCAATCCCTCCTAGTAAAGACCTATGTGGTTTGGTTTTTTTGAGTGGGTCTGAATTAATCTTCCTTCTCATGTTTCTGTTATTAATTGCTAACGTATTTCTCTGTGATTTTTTTTTCCCCAGTCTTCCATGCAACTTGTACTTACATACTAAATTCTGCTATGACTTCCCTTCATGATTATCTGATAGTAAACACTTACTGGTAATTCCCTTTCACAGGTGTAATACCCCCTCCCTTATTACTATAAGTATCACGTGGGAGGCAGAGAGCCTTTCTCACACAAAATGGTCACTTCTTTTTCCTCTACTTAGCTCTTTGAGATATATATGGGGAGAGAGAGAAAGAGAGATATCTCTATCTCTATCTCTATCTCTCTATCTCTCTATATATAGAGAGATATATCTATATATCTTTATATATACATATATACACGCTATTATTATCATTATTATTATTATCATTATTATTATTATCATTATTATTATCATTGCCTTTGTATCTTTTGGAGCTCTGCTTCTTGTCTTTGCTCGCCCTCCCTTCAAAGGTTCCTTTGCCCCACAGAGGGGTGAGGCTCTCTCTCTGGGACAGGACACTGGTGCAGTGGAGGGAGGTGACAGTGGAGGGAGGCTGTGCCTGAGGCAGGACAGGCACACGGACGAGTGCAGGAGCCCGGAGGGTGTCCTGTGCTGCTACTTGACAAGCCTAGAGCTCCCCCGGCACAGCCAGGACACCGAAAGAACGCAGGTCTTCCTGGAGGAAGATACAGCGATGCCTGCCGCTTAGATTTTCCCCGGACACAGGACGCCTTCTCCCTCCTAGGAAACGCTCAGGAGAATGAATTGTGAACGTGCCTATTTATACCGTGTGTTTTTGAATGTGTGTGTTTTTAAACTTGCTCTATTATTTTAAAAACATATTAACAGAAAGTCTGGATGGTGTGGCTCAGTGGTTGAGCATGACCCATGCACCAAGAGGTCATCAGTTGGATTCCTGGTCAGGGCACATGCCCAGGTGGTGGGCCTGATCCCCCATGGGGGGCAGGCAGGAGGCAGCCAATCGATGTTTACTCTCGTTGAGGTTTTTATCTCTCTCCCTCTCCCTTCTTCTCTCTCTAAAAATCAATAAAGAAAAAGATTTAAAAAAGGTATTAACAGATAGATAGGTAGACAATAAATAAATAATCAGACAAAATGAACTCCAGCAAATAATCCCCTTGTATCTCTTCTTACCTACCAATGTGCTCTCATTTTAAATAATGCGATTTATGGATCAATCATTTTAAAAGATGGCTTTCTCTTCTCTGCCATGGAAATGAGAAGTACTAGCTCACTTGGGCTGTGCTTTGAGGACCTCCAGCCAATCCACTGGGAATAAAAGGAGCTGTGATTTGTTACAAAGGGGAGTTTGCCACAGGCTGGAGGAGCAGCAGAAGCCTGACCGTACTTACCCAAGTTGAGGTGCAGGGCGAGCCTCCCTTTCTGGAGCTCCAGGGTGATGTAGTCCCCACGCTGCCCTTCCCCGTGGAACAGAACCCCATCTCCTGGGATGCTCTTGAACTTCAGAGAGATCACATCTTTGAGCGTGCTCAGCAGCTTCTGATGGAACCTGTACAGGAGGGAGCTCCTGCCGTCGAAGTCGGCCACGTCAGATTCTGCACGGAAGGAGAGAGGGAAGGAAGAGAACATCAGCATGCATCCCCCTAACTGCTAGTCCTGCTCCCCAACTTAGCAGGATCCATTGTAAATACATGTGCTTGACATCTGGAAGGACCTGTCGTGTTAAGGGAAGCATGTAGCTAGACCCATCCTAATTAGACTCGGGGAAGCAATTCATGTACAAGTGACCACCACATGCGGAGCTAAAATGACCAGCTCATCAGCCTAGAAGCAAAGTTTCTCATTAGTGACATGTTGGTTTTTGTTGCAGAAACAGGAGGAGGACACCACACGGGCCCATGTCAGGGTCCACTGTCAGACTCCAGGTTGTAACAATGGTTCATGATTTGTCTTCTTCTTTACTTTGCTTGATCTTCAGAGCTGGTTAATCCTTCTTCTCAGGCTCAAGGTTAGAGGTAAAAACAGTTTATTTTTCAACTTGGACTGAATAGCACTGTCTTCCAAGGACCCTGTGTTGGGAGGGATTCTGAGATTTTCTCTGTGTTCTGCAGAGAAGAGCAAGCGTAAGGAACACTTGCTATTTGAAACATGAGGCCAAATGCATTGCAGCTTCCGATCGCTGCCCTTATCTTGTGCTGGTGATAGTGATCATTTTAGTCTTCATATACAAAATGTTCTTGTATTATTGTTAAAGCAAAGAGAGGTCAAGTAACTATAATGTAGACACACTTAAGGAGTGTGTCTGCATAAACACATCTAAAGGCTATGCCTAAAGGGGACAGGGCTTTTACTTCGTTAGGTAATATGTACGATGGCAAATACGTAGACAAAAAGTGCACCGTGTCATGTGTCATTGGGGAAATAAGAAGCAAAACGACACTGAGCGGTCACGGCACACCTATGAAAAGGGCCTCAGTCTGAGACGCTACAACACCCGGTGCTGGCGGGGAACGGGAACGCTCGCGCAGCGCTGGCCGACACAGGAAACGGTGGACGGCTTGCCAAGCAGCCCGGCAGTTTCCTGCAGAGCCACACGCTCCCTGACCTGGCGTCCCGGAACCACGCTCGCTGGCATTCACTGAAAGGAGCCGAACTCGCATGTCTACGCAAACACTGCTCGCGAATGTTTGAAGCGACTTTATTCGTAATTTCCAAAGTCTGGCAGCAACCAAGATGCCCTTTAGTAGGTGAATGAAGAAACAGACTGTGCTATGTCCAGACGATGGAACATCATTTACCCCTACAAGGAAATGAACTACCAAACTGGAAGAAGACATGGAGGAACGTTAAATGCATGCGACAAAGTGAAAGAAGCCCACCTGACAAGGCTCCATGCTGCATGAGTGCCACGATACGGCATTCTGCGGAAGGCACAGTCACGAGCACAGTGAGGTCAGTGGCCGCCACGGATCGGGGGGAATAGGCAAAGCACAGTGTTCGTGGCAGGGAACACAGTCTGCGTGATACCGTAAGGATGGATACCTGCCATTATGTGTGTCCAAACCCACGGAAGGCGCAACACCATGTGTGAGCGGTAAAGAAAACTGCAGTTTTTCAATAATTATGATGTACCGATTGTGGTCCATGGACTGTAATAAATGCACCATTTCTGATGGGGGTGCTGATAATAGATTAGGTTATGCATATTTGGGGTCTGCAATATATAACAAAACCTGTCACATTTGATGTGAATCTAAAAATGTTTTAAAAATAAGTTAGTAGGGACTATTGGGGAGGTGCTATTATAAGTGATTTTCACATTACTTTTTAATGATTTTATTATTATAACTTCATAATGAACTTTTATTACTTTTATAGTAGCAAGACCAATTATAACTTGAAACAGATCCATTATAAACTATCTTATGTGGATGGGATGGTGGTGAATGAGTGTTTGGAGGGGGTGAGTCTACCCTTATTTTCAATAAGGTACACAAAAAACTCAATTTTTTATTATTCACCAAGAAAGTAAAATCTTGAGTATACATATAGATGAAATTAAGATTATTTTGACCAATGACCAAGAAATATTATTTTGTTAAACTGAAGTTCTGAAATAAAACCATACTTTTATTGTAATTATTTTTAAAATATATGTTTATTGATTTTCAAGAGAGGGAACAATAGATGTGAGACATAAATATGTGCCTCCTGCCTGTGACCCGCTGGGGATCAAACCCTTGACCTTCAGTGGTTCTCAACCTTCCTAATGCCGCTACCCTTTAATACATACACTTCCTCATGTTGTGGTGAACCCCAACCATAAAATTATTTTCATTGCTACTTCATAATTGTAATTTTGCTACTGTTATGTCTTAGGGAACCCCTGTAAAAGGGTCGTCCGACACCCAAAGGCGTCACGACCCACAGGTTGAGAACCACTGGAAGGGATGATACTCCAAGGACCTGAACCATCCCAGCCAGGGATTTATTTTGTTATAAAACATAAGTTTATAATTTATTCCATAGGAGTGAAGTATTTCTAACCAAGATTTGCTGATGACTGCCTACACTCTAAAAGTAAATAGTCCAGACATAGAGAGATTGTCACAAACACCTCCTTGCTTTCAGACCCTCCCCACTCCACCCCATCAGTGCCCTGCATCTGTCCCCTGAAACAAAGTCTACCAAAACCCGAGGGAGGCTGAAGGCAGCAAGCTGCCATCAGTCAGGGAGCCACAGAGACCTGAGTGTGTAGGAGGTCGGGGGTTCTAAAATGCAGCTGCTTGTTAGCTGGGTCACCTTGGGAAACTATACAATGGGGTAATTTCTATCCTTCAGAGAAGACTGCTGTGAGAATTAATGTGCACATATACATAAAGTGATAATATGTATAAAGTGATGTCATCATGTCTGACACATTATTTGTGTTAAATCAGTAATAGTAGGAGCATTAATAGTGACTGGCATAACTAGAGACATTGAGTTCCTTCCAGTCCATTCTAGGGGCAGGCACTCTACCGCCTCATGCAGAATGACTCTATTTCTTTTTCTGACTCAGTGGTTTACTGTCCAGGGGATGTCAAGTTGGCCTGAGGTTTCCTGATGTGCCCCATTTCAGGGTCTCCAGCTGCAGTTCTTCATCTGTGCATGTGTGTGCGTCCTGCCCACGTGCCCTCTTCCGTTGCACAGACTCGGTCTGAGCAGGGCCCTCAGGAACTGTAGTGGGCAGTGAGGCCAACATGCGTGTTATAAAATAGAGAGGTGCTCCCATGCTGCGGGAATACGGAGTTCTCACTCTGCCCACGGGTGGGACCAGCACTTCCGTGAATAAACGCAGAATGTGTTGCTGCTGAGAAGATGCAGCTGCACCGTGTCTCAGCCTGCAGCGCCCAGAGCCCTGGGTTCCCTTCTCCATACGCTATTCCTCTCCCAGTTCATCGCAGCACGTATGCATTCCATCTCCTCGCTGTCTAGCTAATCTAGCGACAAAACGGATGGGCTGCGTTTGGATCACATAAGTTATCTCTAAGAAACACATCTCTATGTTGCTATGAGATCTTGAGAAACTTGGCCAATGGATATAACTGGAACAAAAGAAAGTGTTGCTGAGGCCTAACAGACCCAGGTTTCGGTTCCAAATCTGCTACCTGCCGGCGGGTAAACTTAGGGCAGCGGTTCTGACTTCTCCGAGCTTCAGTCCCTTTCTGCAAAACAACGCTGAGTGCAACCTAGCCTTGCACACTCATTGTGAGAATTCCATAAACTCCCACCTGGAAAGGATCAGTCACCCAGTCCCATTCCCACCCCTCATTAAGCCAAGGGGACTGCAGTGGCAACGCCCTGAAGTGCGCTCTAAGGGCAATGGGAGATGGCGGTATGAAGAGACTCTGCCTGAGTTTGGGGTCAGTACCCTTCACGGCGCACTGAGCGGGCATGCACCCAAGCCCTCATCATCGCCTTCCATAGTCGTAACCTCCCAAACACCTTTCCTGATTCAACCTTTTTCCTCCCTCTGACCCGGTCTCTCATGTTCATAAAGCACAAGTAATATCACACATCACCTTGGTGGAAGCCCATCAGTGAACTCCCCTTGCATTAAAATTAAATCAAATATCTAAAAACCATCAGGATCTGATTCTGCCCTCCTGTCCCCCAACCTGACTCCCTCCCGTCTGAGGTCTGATCACACTGTACTAGGGTGGGGGGGCAGGTGGATATGCAGGTGTGGGGAGGGGTTAGGGTAATATCTACAAAGTGTGCGCCCTGCACCAGGTAATGCTCTTAATGCCCTTTTGTGCATGAACGTATTTAACCTAGTAAGTCTTGTGAAGAACACACTGCTATTACCCTGGCTTACAAATGGGGAAACCGTGGCGCAGAACATGAAGAAGCACATAGCAAGTGGCAGAGCTGAGAACTCAACTTGTTGCCTCTGGCTTAGCCCCATTCTGGGTGCCAGCACCTTCCAAGTGTCCCTCTCCCTGACCTTCTGATGCTCAGCTCAGGTGCTTAGTGCTTTCCCTAGGAGCTCAGGTGCGTGGTCCTTTCCCTAGGAGCTCAGGTGCTTGGTCCTTTCCCTAGGAGCTCAGGTGCTTGGTCCTTTTCCTAGGAGCTCAGGTGCTTGGTCCTTTCCCTAGGAGCTCAGGTGCTTGGTCCTTTCCCTAGGAGCTCAGGTGCTTGGTCCTTTTCCTAGGAGCTCAGGTGCTTGTCCTTTCCCTAGGAGCTCAGGTGCTTGGTGCTTTCCCTAGGAGCTCAGGTGCTTGGTCCTTTCCCTAGGAGCTCAGGTGCTTGGTGCTTTCCCTAGGAGCTCAGGTGCTTGGTCCTTTTCCTAGGAGCTCAGGTGCTTGGTCCTTTCCCTAGGAGCTCAGGTGCATGGTCCTTTCCCTAGGAGCTCAAGTGCTTGGTCCTTTCCCTAGGAGCTCAGGTGCTTGGTCCTTTCCCTAGGAGCTCAGGTGCTTGGTCCTTTCCCTAGGAGTTCAAGTGCTTGGTCCTTTCCCTAGGAGCTCAAGTGCTTGGTCCTTTCCCTAGGAGCTCAGGTGCTTGATCCTTTCCCTAGGAGCTCAGGTGCTTGGTGCTTTCCCTAGGAGCTCAG